GACTTGTTCTTAGCCAAGGTCTTTTTATGAAATAGGCTGTAGTGAAATAATTAAAATACTTATTTATTTAATTTCATTTTTACGCTTAATGCTCCTATCTACTAAACCGTCTAATTGTATCTTTAATAAACTTCATAAAAAACAATAGGATGATTTAAGCCCTCGGCTGGCACATGAAGGTTTGCGCAATGCAAGAAACAAAGATTGAATTAGTCTTACTTTTAACGAAATTCAATTTCTAATCTAAATTCTAAAAACTGGGACATCTATATATTTTTTTTTTCCTTATTTACCGCTGTGACGCTGCATGGTATTAAGATTCGTAAATGCTAAATCGTTCGTGTTATGTGTTAAACCGTGGATTAAAAAGCAATTCTTCTGTGTCTTTGAAAATAAATGCATACTGTTATTTAATTGAAATTAGCTCGCTGTGGTTTGACTGCCATACATATAAACCGATTCGACATGCATAAATCAGAAAACAAAACCCTAGACTTTATGACGATCTGTCTCAATATTTCTAGCAGTTTAGCGCAGAAAATATTCTGTCTTTATATATGCTCAGGTTTCTTCTGTCTCCCCATCCTAACATAGTTATGTTCCCTTAAAATATTTAAGGCCACTAATTACAGAACTATATATTTCGAATTTATTTTGTGACTACTCCAAAAAAAAAGTCTGGAATTTAGGAATTGGCGTTTAAAATATTTTTTACTGATTTAAACACCTTTTACTATATCCAAAAAATGTCCTCAGCACACAAACATCTTTGTTAAAAGACGTTGGAAGAAACTGCAAAGGCGGAACGTTTATCAAAGGCCCGCTATCACCCTCTGGCTTCTGTTCGCAACGAACAGATCTTTCCTGCGCATCGTATACGAGAGAAGAGGAAAGCGTTATCCTTTCTCTGCGGTTCACCCCTGGCGCCATCTGGACCACCGCTGGAGACAGCTCCTGCTCCAGTAGTGTGGGTGGGGTCGCAGCCACGCTTGATCGAAACCTTTGACCGTTTATAGACTTCAGTCGCCCCAGGCACTCAGACCATTACTGGGTCCACTGTACATTAGATCGGTGGCAACTATGTATACCCACGGACTTCTCAACAACTCTTTAAGCCCCCGGCGTACTTGGGAAAGTGTTCTCTGTTCCTGACATTTTCATGTTGTAATAAGGAAATGCAATATAAGAAACAAATTACAATTTAAAATACTTTTACAATTTATTTCGATGAACGCATTTTGAAATAGAAATATATTAACTAAATAATCATTATTTATGCACATATTAATACAATGCCATTTCTTCTAAAGAAATACGAGTCATTGTGATTAGCAGGACTTGTTGTAACAAAATTACGGTTTTGGAATAACAAATCAACGACAGTTAGGAAACAAGAAATAAAATAAATTCAGTTTATAAAATTAATCTAAAAATTTGGGTGAAAATTATTACCTCTAATTGAAGTCTTACGAGGCCACAACTTTGACTATTAGCACCACTTGTCTACTTTTCGACGTGGCGAAATCGTGAACGATGTTGTTAAAATCAATATTTACTAGAATGTCATTTAATACACATCTTACTTATATTAATTAAAGGCGGTGAATCTGCGATTTATTACTTCACTTTTTTTATTAATATAAATTCTGGAGACAAGCTTTCACCAGTAGCGTTTTTAACGGTCACAGAAAAAAATAATCTCATTATAATTTCATCATTTAGAAAAATTCAAAATTTATTTCCACTGTAACCTACCTTCTTTTGTGTAAGACGGGAAGGGGGACTGATTTGATATCACTAAAATGCTTGTTTTGACACACAGATGGACACTTTCCAACGCAGTAGGACCGTAAGTTTTATTGTTTAAAGACCAAGACCGAGATCTGAACTTGCCTGCATATTCACTGATAAATTCTGGAGACGAGATTTCACCACTAGCGTTTTTAACGGTCACAGAAAAATTAATCTCATTATAATTTCATCATTTAGAAAAATTCAAAATTTATTTCCACTGTAGCCTACCTTCTTCTGTCGTACTTGCACTAACATTTTGTGTAAGACGGGAAGGGGGACTGATTTGATATCACTAAAATGCTGGACACTTTCCAACGCAGTAAGACCGTAAGATTTTATTGTCAGAAGACCAAGACCGAGATCTGAACTTGCCTGCATATTCACTTTGTTATTCACCAAATTTATGAGAGATTGTTTACGTTTTATTTGCAAACCCCTTCTTCAAATCGCGGCATGTTGTACTCTTGTAGGTCTGTGTTAGAAGTATGATTACCGACTTTCCTGACTGGTGTGAAATTATTTCTATTACTCAAAAATTACTTTCAATTCGAGACCGGCCCAGTGCTGGGTCGGAGATGAAACGTCTGACTTAAGACCAAAGTTCTGCTTGAACAGGGCAGCCACACACCCCGAGGAAAAGTGACGGATGTGCTGCAATGATTAATAGACAAAGGAACGGCGACACACTGTCAGCAGAACATTCTTCGATGTCCCTTCATCCACCACGAAGCCTCCGGTCTCTCTCCATAGGAAATCATCAGTGTGACAAACGTGGCATTTGCTTCTGTAAATGTCTTGAGTCGAAGCCAGTGTGCAGAAACATAGAAAGGACGTGGAATAGCATGTGAGTTACTGCTGACAATAACGTGCGCCTCACAAATTTGGGTTTCGCCTTTAGCTGCACTGGATTGCGTCTGATTTACACGAACACGAGTCCTGGACCTGTCTCTGTATCTGTCCCCATCGTCATTCTGCTCAGTTTAACGGCTTAGGCCTGTATTAAAATAAGTCATCGTCAATTCTTAGTGATACCGGAATGACGCATTAATTATCATCTCCTAACTTTGTCCATCCAACAGAGTTGAGATTTGTGCTAGGAGATTTTTTTTAAACCAGAATCGAATTTTATCCTATAAATGAAGGTACCATTTCGTTTTGGCCAGTATATATTCTAGATTATATTTTTTCAGCGTGTTGTATATCATTCACAGTGTTTCTAGTCAGCTCTGATTTATAATATTACTCAAGAATTAAAATAAGTCTCCAACGGTTAGAATATAATACCACAAAATCTACAAATATTTCAAGACCGTTCATATGCCAGGGTTAATTGTTAATCTTCATGTTGTAGTGTCATTATATTACATATGTATTGCCCAGCATATATATAGTTCTTAGAATTCAGTTTCTCACTCAGATATTATTAAGTAATTAATTTATTAATTTTTTGTTTTGTATACAGAAAATTGTGTCCACTTAAAGCCAGCTCTAATGTAATAACTTTCTCTAGTGGAACTATTCAACGACTACATGCTCTTTACTCCAAAAAATATAATTTTACTTCAACCTCTCCATTTTCAATTACAGTCTCTACTTTAAATTTATTCTCACATTTAAATCTAAACTTATACAAGTAGTTTGCTATATTTATTTATTTTAGAACATTGGTAGAATTTATTATTTTATTGTAAGCCGCCTGTTCATTAAAATCAAGCTATTTTATACTGAAAATATTTTTCTCGAATTCGTTGCTTCCGAAAATTTTTATAGTATGCCATCTTGTTCTCTCAGACCCATTATTTATTCTTCTCAGTATCCAGATACCAGTTTTAAACCATGTTCACCTACTTTTTTAATTTCTTGTACAACAAAGTATGTATGTTTCTCTAGCATAATCAAATTTTATATCACAACCAAATATTAATTATCTATTTTTTCTTATAATAGGAAACAGAGTCTCTCGTTTTATATTACTACATTTTTCTTTTATATTTTTACACATCTTACTCTCACTGATCTGTAAATTATGCTAAATGTAACCCAATTATATTTTGTGTAAACACTCTATAAGATTAAAATATATATAATAAAATTCAGGCTATAAGATATATTATGCTCATGTACGTAAAGTTCTGCACTGAAATAAATTTACACACATTTTAGTTAAATAACAACATTTCGATGATTCAATACTAATATACGCATTTATTTTCTATCGTACATTTATTTTATATTACGAATATAAAATTACAAAAAAGACAAATTAATATTACGTTGTAAGAATAATTTGTGTGAAGATGAAAATTATTCGGTAATATATTTTTATTCTTAAAATAATAATATCAGTACGCAAACATGAAGTGATTAAAGGAAGATTTTCGCTTTATAGCTTACAGTGCAGTTGAATTTACAGATCTGAATACAATCATCTATAAGTGAGCTTGTGTTTTATTAAGGCGCTAGAGGCTTCATTTATTTTTCAATTTATTATTAATTTCTTCTTTTTATTTAAATCAAAAGACGCATTCTTTTAAGTGTTATTCTAGTTTAGAATAATTAAATGCAGAAAACATTATTTATACTTTCCATCTATCTAAGGTAAGAGTGAAACTAATTTTATGGCAAAATCAGATATATTCTGTATTCTATAGCAATATATTTTTCTTTGCTATGGATACCGTATACTCGTCATGTATAGGTAACATAAGAATAAATTTATCAGCTGGAGTTCAAACCACGCAGATAAAAGTCATTTAATACAATAAACGGAGTATATAATATATCTTCTGCAATTGTTTTGGTTTTAATTAATTAAAGCTAGGCAGTCTATGACTAATTACTGGCTCTAATGATTAAAATTAATATTATTTAATGATGTTGTGATGAATATCGTATAGATTTCATTAGTGTTTGTGTATTCCAATTAGCAATGTCCAGTTTAAATATAGATTTGGCTTGGCAGTGTAATTGGATGGAGAGTGGAGATTCTGTAAAATCGCCAACAAGGCTGAAATCTTAGCGTTAACAGAAGTAACTGCATTGCACGATTTTTAAGACCAACAATTATCGTCTTCCCGCACATTGAACAAAACCTAAATGGGTCATCTTTATAAAAAATGGATATGTCACTTCCAAAATTTAGCTTGTTTCTTTATTTTAAGTAAATTTACTCCAAATTTTAATTTCAGTTATCATGAGTAACTAATATATAATATGTATAATTATTTAATAATCAGTTTATAGGTTAGTCATAGTCACTTAAGCCAGAATCGCGCGTTCTCCTGTATCTTGCATTGAAATTGTGGGAGACAAATCTGTAAAACCAGTCAATCGATAAATTAATATACTTAAAACATTCGCAAATGTGGGCACAGTACAAATATAAAAATAGACCGTCGTTTCTCTCTACCAAACAGCTAAATATACTATAACAAATTCATTATAAATTACGCCCAATTTCTCATTATCAGATTGGTACAAAAAGGTCGCATTTCATCGCAAATAACTTTTATGCAAATTAAATAAAATAGTAAGCTAACTGGAAAATTTATTGCATTGTATCTTATTTTTAAATTCAAAAACTAATTATATAAGCAAAATATTCCAGATGTGATAATTCGATTATTATAAATTAAACACTTTTCGTGTGTAAAAAAATATGCTACTAATTTTAAAAAAAAACTTGCAAATATTTAATTATCTGAAATGGAAACAACCCGATTAACTGTTCAACCACTATTCAACTAAATTTATTGAGTTGCCTGAATATTCAAATCCTACCCTTAGGTCCCTAGCTTCTATTGTAATAATTGTCCCGAACTTAATACCATACAAAAACAACATTTTTTTGTGATGTTCTAGAATAAAACAATTTTTTATTCTGTTCTAGACGATGACCTTGAAATTTATAAACTTGTAGACCTTTAGAAATTCATTGTTTAGTTTTTGAGATTAAACGTGGATACTGACGGACATAATTCTCTATTGTGCACTAATTTAATAGAGTTAGACTAGCACATGAATGTAATCCCTGAGAGTACAATGTAAATTTCAGGCTGATTTGATTGGTTTATTGATTCAGTCAGTTTTTTTACGCTCTGTTAACAGATATTCTAACGAAACGAAAAGATGTGTCTGTAAATGTGATAATTATCTAAAAATGAAGTAGATAATAAATTTGTTGTAGGGACGAAAAGTAAATATACGTAGGTCCATTTACTAGATGATTAACGTTTGTAATTAAAATCAAACAACACTGTAAATGTAAATAAACTGTAGGCTTTAATGTTAAACTTTTAAGTATTCCGTCGCTTCGCCCCTGCTGGAAATGTATCTGTCGATTATATCGTTTATAATTTCTACATAATTTTAAGTTAGTTTAGTTAAATATACGAACATTTTTTAATTTGAAATCGGCAGTTTATAATATGATTTTAATGTGTCATTCAGCCATAGGCAACGTATGTGAGGTTTCACCGCGAGAACATAGTTATATAATTTAGTTATTTTTAAAGCCTCTTTGAGACTTTGCAAGGTTCGTTGTTGTCGTGTTTCAAAAATAAACAGTAACATTAATATGCACCCCCATATGGACCTCGGGCTTTTCAGTTCATATATATCCACTTTCCCCTGACTCCTTCAAATTTCCCCGTTTCATATATCTCATCTTGCAGAATTGACTTGTTCTACCCTTATTTTTCAACCACTTCATTGGCCAACCACCCCTCCCCAGGCAGCCATATGGCACATATCGATTTAATGGCGACAAGGAGAAATACAGGCTACTATAGCAATGCGTCCTTTTTTGATATTCTTTAGAAATTTCCCCCGGAGCTGCATTCAGAAGTACTGTTGCTACCAATTTTCCTGAGAAGGGTTGAAAAGCTAACAGCTTTCATTCTATCACAGACTCCAGAAAGAGCGCGTTTGGTAACTGCCATGTTATTCAAGCGCTCGACATCGACATTTACTAACCTCATTCAGTAAACATAGTCGATACTGCAGTACTCTGCACACGCGTTCCTTAAATTAATATAATAATTATGGATCAGTATTGGATGAGCCACTTAGCATGCTAGAGTAGTGTTCTTTCTCTTGATTTTCGTATATCCAAGTGATGCTAAAAGAGTAACTTAAAATAGGTCTTGACTACTTCCTTCTAAAATTGTTATCTACTGTCCTTTCTTATATATTATATATTAAGTGTATATTAAATCTTGTCCGTCTAATCACAATAAATTCTTATTAAATATTAAATTATTAAAATAATTAACATTTAAAATATTTAAAATATTAAATGATGTTCTTTGTCCTTTCTTAATTAATCTCTAATATATTTCTATGTTTTATAACCTATACAGTTGTATTAGTGTTCTTATATAAATTAACAGAAATTATTAATCATGTAACATGCTGATGTATAATTTGATGAGTTAATAGAAAATAACCTCGTGGAATAGGCACCTTATTGTGTCACTGATGGTCCATCAACTAATCGAGAATTTTCCATCCTTTATGAAAGCCAAAGTATCATTAACGTGTTCACAAGTGCCTGCCATGTGTCACTGTATTCAGTCCATATATCCTCAAATATTTTTTTTTAAATTAATTTTAATATTATCTCCCCAACAACACATGGGTCTTCCGAGCGGTTTATTTTATTTAGGTTTACGATTGTAATTGTGCGTACTACATATTTATAACATCAGACATGAAAAGACGTGATTACAAGACGCATAAACATTTTCATCCAAAGGAGGACAGAGAAAGTTTTGTCGTGTCTACTACCACGTAAAATTCAGAGACAGGGAGTGGTTTGTTAGTTTTCTGAAACAAAAAAACAGCGATGATAGGTCCATAGACGTGGTGTTTGCTAAGCCAACTGTTGAGAATACTGCCGCGGGTACAGAATGACATGAATGGGGTGTTCCGTACAACCGAGAGGTGCAAGGCGATCTGACGCCCACAGGCTATCTTAACAAGAACCAACCTCGTCAATGTAGCGGTGTGTATTTGCCTTGCACTGATTTCCCATTGCGTGGAACAAACACATCGTGGCTGGAACGTGGGTCATTACTCTGTGTAGGCCTGTCCATGTGATCAGTGGGAGATGTTAGACGAAAGCAGGATGTACAAAGTCCTCCAGCGATTAAACAGGCAAACATTTAGTCGTGAGTGCATAAGCGTTTACATAATTTCACAGGAGCTGTATTTCTTCAGGGCATATGATGACCCTGTTTTCAGGAATCGATACAGAATGTAATTAAAAAGTAATGTAGTGTTGTTAATTATTGAAAGAAGAGATATTTTATAAGTTTAAAAAGAAGTTGGTTACAAATTAATGTGCGTACAAGTGTGTAAACTGTAACTTAGTAAATATTTTACAGTCAGTTGAACATTCTCTTTATATGATTTATTCAGGTCACTTAATATTGTTGTCGTTGTGAAATCAAAGAGGTTAGAACATGCCGGGAAATCAGATATTTCACCAGAATGGAGAAAACAGTGGATCATACAGAGTTTTGGTGGGGAGTCGTTTTGAAAAACAAAACACATGGTACGATAACATTAGAATGGATCTCAAATATGTAGACTCTAGTTTGGTGAAGCTACTTAGGATTCTGCTACCACAGTGAGAAAAACACGACATTCTGAATGAAAAGCAACATTTGAATACCAAGAATTATTTGGAACGATATATTCTCTTTAATTTATTTTTTATTATTTAGTGTTCTGTCTGGCGACAGGTCCATATGAACAGGATCCTTCCATCCTTTTCTCGGACTGGGACCTGTTCATATACGTTCTTGGCAGATGATCCAGAAGTGGTTTGCCATTGCCTTCTTCTGTGTGTGAATGGAGTAATTGTTGGGATGCCACGGATAAACCGGGGAAGCCCCCGGAGGAAAACTCCGTGTTGCCTAGACCAAGGCCTTGCCCAACACAAGTTATAAATGCGGGCACCGCCAGGAATCGAACCCGAGACCCCAGGATTACAAGACCAGCGTTCTAACCGCTAATGCACACATTTAGTTGAAGGTATGATCCATGTATGTACTGTATTGAACTTTCTTGTTCCCTGACAAGCACGTCGAGTGTAATTATATCCCCCTGCCACCCAAATGCAGTGTTTAACGTTACCTAGTCACTTAATTCTCGTTCTGTGTTGTTGCTAATACTTCCTATCTTGTAATGTATTCTTCTCGGGCTACCAGCCATGTCAGGACGTTTAGTACCCTGAGGACGAGGACGAAGATGGCTCTCGAAACGTCGGTGTTCTCTCAACTCAATCACCTGACACGGCTGGTATCCCGAGAAGAATTCTTTATATTTAGTCGCTGTGAAAGCTTCAGATCATACATCTTCGTTTTTTCTTTGTTTCATTGTATAATATAGACTATATACTGCATCTACAACAACGGAAGTAAATTTAAATTTATATTTAATTTTATTTCGCAGGTTTTATTTAAAAAAATAATGAACTCCTTATTATTATTATTCCTATTCAAGGTTCGGGATCTAAGCTCACGTTCCAATATCAGAACTGATTGAACTTAATATACGTACATATAATTATCAAATAATAACTACAGGAGTAAAGTTTATACAACCGCCATTTCATCATTTAAATGAAGAATTTTACATGAATTTGTGCGTTGATATTTTGACGAGTAGCGGACAGAGGTCGGATATGACGGCAAACAAACAAGACAAAGCCTCTAACACAAATCAAACGTCTTCTGTCTGTTAACAGAATAATTTTAAACATGTGCTAAAAACAGTATTACTTGCATTGTCACAATATTTCTTACTATTTCGATAATGCATTTGTTCAGAAATATCAATAAAGCTCAGATAAATTGATTAAAAGTGTGTGAACAGATGCCAGTCACCTTTTTCTTACGTCCGAAATATGCAACTACATAGTACGATTATATTAGAATATTGGCGTGGTTTTAGAGACTACAATTAGTTGTGTAAATTCTGATATGTTACAGATTATTGAACTCGAAGACCCTGCGGTGCTCCTGTTAATATTTCAGCTACGACCAGATCGCATATAAATCGAGAATGGCTGATCGAATCCCTTCGAAATTTAGTGCTGGAAAATTTTGCTATCTACAAAACCTGTTTATTGAAACCTGTCCATAAGTCGGACAAACATGATGGAAAATTTGCGTTCTCTTCTGCGCGCGGAGTTACTAGTTGGAAAACATTAGGCTGCTTTAATTACAGTAGTTACTTTGTTTACCTTCGTTACTGTGGTTACTTTGGTTTCCATAATTGTACTACGAATCTCCAGCCACTCAGACATTTGTGACACCGTGCAGTCTGGACAACCCAGGACACAGCCATCATCGTAGTCACCACTGTGAAAACCTCAATTCCTGTTTGTCTATGATGTCACTGTCGCAAATCTCGAAGGCTAAAGGTGAAATTGCAATGCTCCGTGTGCATTTCCTAAGTTATTCTTTAGTATTAAATACTAAAGTTTCAAAAGTATAAATATTTATTAAGAATAACTCACACCAGAAGAATTTTTCTATGAAACTAATTTTCGGAAGTATGGAATTTTTTTATGTACCAAAATTCGATCGCTTGTGATGGTAATAAGAGATTTTTCTTCGAGATATCTACTTATCTACTCTTTATGATCATCCATAATTCTAATCCCTAAATAACATTTGTAATTAAAACGGAATCTATAAATGTCCAAAGTACTCATATGCAAATACCTGTATGCATCAAACGTTTCCTAAGAATTTTCCAGATTGTGTTTGCATTCACGTCTCTCGTCACCACAGAAATGAAGGATATTCACAGACAGCCAAAGCAGATACCACATGACAGTACACCAGCCTGATTATACAAACATTGACCATTCGACGCGAAATAACATCTCGAGTTGACAGAGCATCATTAAATAACAACAATTTTGACGAGGCTTCACGTTCTACGTATTTTAACCTAAACGCTTT